CAGCGCGGTTTTGCAGGCCAGTTCCATGTTCAGGGAGGTCAGATACGCCGTGTCTGCTCCCCGCCGCTCCTTCTCGGTCTGTTTGTGGTGGAACTGTTTCCGGAACCGGTCGAAGTCGAGACCGAATCGATGCAGGGCCGAGAGAATCTGCTGCTGCTCGGTATACAACTCGGCGTACCTCTCGAGGATCTCAAGATCGGTTGCGTCCCAGCACCGGGCGAGAAACGCGAAGCCGACATCGGTGATGGGATTCAACACCTGCTGCACGTCTCGAAGAGTCTGGAAGTCGTGCGCTTCGTCTCCAAATCCCTCGAGCTGCAGTGGCGCTGGCACGAGCCCGTGGTGCATGGCCTGCGATTCCAGATGCAGGAAGGCCTCCAGCAGGCTCTCCTCCACCGGAACCAACGGCAGCCCGTGGAGGAGACGCTGATTGCGCAGCTCTTCGAGGATGGCCAGCCCGCTCTGCAAATGGGCCGTGGCGTCGTCGAAGCGACCGCAGACCAGCTCCAGCATGACGAACAAGAGGCAGCACACCAGCAGCACCTCGCGCAGCTGCGGGTCCTGCAGGATGTGTCGCTTGCTCAGCAGGCCGAACGAGCGACTGCACTGCTCCAGGGCAAACCCATGCCACGTGCTGCGGGACTCGCATCCCGGGATGGGGATGCCGTGCTTCTCCAGGTCCTGGTTGATGGCGCTCAGGGCCACCACAGCGTGGTACACGGCGGGCTCGCTGTAGCACATCTGCAGAACCAGCTTCTGCCACAGCGACGAGTCGTAGTAGCTGGTGAAGCTCGGGATGGTGCGGTGCAGGAAGAACGAGACGCATCTCTTCTCGTCCGGGGTGATGGCCCAGCGGAAGCCGGACTCGACGGGGGCGCGGGGCAGCGAGGCGCGCGACTTGACCAGCTCGGTCGGTCGCGGGAGGCGATTCACCTCGTAGCCGTCGCAGACCCAGCCGTTGGAGGTGCAGTTGCGACAGGCCGTCGGCGACTCGTCGCATTTGACGTGGCGGACTCTGCGGGGGTCAGTTAGCAGTAGACAGTCTGGGAGACGGAGCCTCGACGAACCGGCAGGTGCGGCACCCGGTGCGCGAGCGCTTGGTAAAGGCCCTCTGGCGTTTGGAACGTGGTTGCGGCATATCTTGGAGTCTCTGGAGTCGGTTGATGAAAGGGAGAAGAGGTGAACTGGGCTAGGTTAAGTCTGGAGATGCTCGCTAAGCAACTGGGCTCAGTCGGCAGCGCAGGGCGTGGGGTCCAAAAAGCGCACCCAATGAGCTGCTGCACCCCTGGAATCGGAGGATCCAGGCTTAACCGACTCGGGGAGCTGGTGGCCCTGCCAAGAGGAGCTTCTCTTTATTTAGAGGATCTCGGGCTTCAGGTTGGACCGTCGGACTGTTGGAGATGCCTCCGCCTTCGTTGGCTGCATCGGCCATGTCTCGTCCAGGCTGGGCTGTTGCACTGCAGTGATCACCGGCCATCTCCCCCACTTGGCGCCTTTTATTATAGAATCAACCATGGACCGCCTCCTCCAATTGCTCCATGCAACCATCCTCGACATCGCGGAGGATTTTAAAGTCCGAGAGATCGATCCTCCGCCCCAGCCCTGCCACCGACTCCACCTTGTCTACCCCACGGCCTGGGCAGAACTGGCCAGAGAACGAAGCAAGCCAGTCACCGCGCGACGAGTCGTTAACCTCACCACGCCGCCATCCGACATGCTGCCAGCCGCCCGTGGTGTTGTTGCGAAATGAGCGAGGTCGTGATGGCGCGTTTGCTCCTCGACCACAGTGCCAGTGTCTTTCGTTCAACACAGCGACAAGGCGCCATTTTCAGCTCGGCGAACTAATCATCGAATAGGGCGCGGCACCGGAAATATCGGATACCCAGCAGAAGGCGCGAGGTGTGGCCGGCTGCACCAATGTAGAGGGCACTTTCTCGTCCAGCAGGGAATGGGCGTCATACAAAACCCAACGTTGCATGGCACTCATGATGCAATGCGCTTGTTCTTTGGGGAAACATGGTAGACATCGCTGCGCACTATTGAGATCAGCTCCTGCGACTTTCCGTCCCATGATCGGGCCACCTGGTATTCCCAGGAGAAGAGCGGAAACGAGGACGTTCTGGCTTGGGGGTTCCGGCAGCATGAAGCCAATCCCTTGTGAAGCCGAGCGCCTTCCTTTCTCCCAGAGTCGGTGATTCTTCGGTCAATGCAGTTCAAATCTCTCAAGAATCCCAAAGGCACTCGTAGCATGAGGGGTCGCTGCCTCGCACGTCGTTGGCAGCAGCTCCGCGCAGATATCATCGAAGGGCTCCTCCAGGCGAAGCCGTCCATTGCAGCCACCTCTCATCCTCGACTACGTGGTCCGCTCCGGCAACCAGCAGTGCGTCCAGCGTCTACCTGCTGCTACTCCGGGTGACGATTCAGCGGGGCACTGCGTGCTGAACGAGTGCGAGGGCGTTGCCCTGTTGTCTGCCATTAATCTCATCAATACGGAGCAAAGACGGCGACTCGGCCCTCCATGTCGCCATGTACAACGGAAACGACCTTACGGTGAGGCTATTCATGCGAAAATGGCAGGGCTTCACTATCACCGTATCGCCGTAAAGTGCAGCTCGGCTGCTATTCTGGAAATGGCCGTGCTTGACAGCGGTAACGCCATCGGCCGTCGTCAAGCCACTCCTACACCTTACAGTAGAGCGAGGAGATGCCGCCATGATAAAGGTTCTTCTAGAAGAACGGAAAGACCCAGTGACCTGAAGAACAACTGCGGGCCAAACGCCACTCTCGCTGACGGTATGGAACGACCGGGGAAATTCGGCCAAGCTGTTACTCAATCACGGGGTGTCCGTCGGCGGCCGAGACGGGCTGGGCACACGCCTCGGATGGTCGCCGTGCTGAAACATTCGCTTGGAATAGCCCGACTGCTGGTGGCGAGAGGCGCATCGCTGAATATAACATGTGATCGGGGCTTACGGGCAGGCACGACGGCGTTCAGGATGGCCCTGTACGGAGGAAAGCCCGATGTCGCACGGCTTGTCCTCGAGTCTGGAGCCGATCCCAATGGCGGCACGAAGCAGGCCATGCGGGATATTCAGCAGGACTAGCAATCACTCGCATGTAGTATGCTGTGGACGCATGGCAGGAGCCTCGATCTGGACGAGGCGGCTGAAGATGATCGGGCTCAAACTGGTATGACCGGGGCTGCTCAATCGGGTTCCCGGATGTTGTACGAGAGCTGCTTTGCCACGGGCTAATGCGAACCATGGCGATACTGATGGTAGCACACTGATGACTTGGGCAGCGTATGGAGGGAACGTAGATGTGTTGCGTGAAGTGGACGAATCCCTGACGAAGGTCCTGAGAGGTCCTTGAAGGGGTGGACAAGCATGGTGATTGCTGCGTCCAGAGGGGGTCGCCGAGTGGCTGGTGGCGCACGGGGCCAGCCTTGATCATCGCAACGATTCTGGCCAGGCTGCAGCCTCTCTTACGGCCCAGGCAGCCTATATAGAGCTACTCCTGTGGTTGGTGCGACGGGGCGTGGGGGTCTCTCAGACGTGGAGTGGAGGGCGTGCAAAGAGGCAACCCCGTATGATTTGTGCAGGCGAGTGATATATTCTCCGCTGTGCATCAGGGACACAGGCTCTGCCTGGGGCTGAGGGTCAGCTGTCCCCTGACGAAGACAGATCGAGCGCCTAACCTCGAGAAATGGCCATTGATCATGTTGTACAGGCCGAATGTCTCATCCTGCAGTGCGCCCTGATCGTCGTGCCCGAGTCTCATTGGCCCAAGCTTTACGAAGCCAGCTTAAACTTTGCGGCGAGCCTGCCTATTTTTATTCTGCAGACAACCGACCGATCACTCTGGGCTCTTGGCTCACGTATTGGCTTGCAGTGTCTCACTTGGCTCGTATACAGAGTCATCGGGGACTGCGGCATAAATATGACCCATCCCCAGCAGGCTGTCCGTTAGTTCCATCACTCCTCATCCATTTTCAGCGCAAACAATCTCCACCATGAAGTTCGCTGCCTGCTCTCTCCTCCTCGCCGCCAGCTCGGCTCTTGCAGCCCCGGCCGTGACTGCCCGCGGTGGCGCCCTCACCCTCACCGACTTCACTGCCCGGGCGTCTGCACAGTCGCGCACCTCGACCATCTCCTTCATCCTCGAGGACGCCGTCAACTACCCGGATGACACCCCGACCGACTGTCAATTGATCTGGTATGTCTTGACATCGACAGCAGCACCCCCCATCCAGCCTAACTAACTCCTTTCCTTCTAGGGGCCCCAACGGCGGTCCTCCCAATGAAAACGCATGCGGCAACGACCAATACCTCGTCCGCTTCGCCAACGGACAACCGAGCATCAGCGGCTTCACTTTAGAGTTCGAGAGGGTGTCGGGGCCCGTGGCTCAGCAGGGCTCCGTGACCGTCGACGAGAGCGACGAGTACACCTGTGCCTACTCCCAGGGAGTCGAGACCTGCACCCACAGCGTCCCCATTGTTGTCCCGGTCTAGGCTGTATACCTTTTTGGAGCATCGGCATTTACTCTGCTTGATTAGGCCACGTTCTTGTACGCTACCTAGATTGATGAGGCATAATTGAATAGTTTTTTTTTTTTTATCACTGGCCCTCACGTTCCTTTGGGGCCGCCGAGTAGTTGTAAATGAATCTGGTTAGGGACGTTTCTAAGGTCTAGGGTTATCAAGCCTGGTGGGGGAACAAGGAAGTTGATAGATATATATATTCGTTGTGGAGTGGTTCCCATGTGACATACTATGGATAAGTTTAAGAAATGTAATATCAGACAAGCCTACTTCTTTTGTATACTAGAAGTAGTACCAGCAAAACTATAGTTTGATTTCTATGTGACTGTCCCTAGTATACCAACTGCTCCAGTGCCAGCGCATCCTTGTTGCCTGGACTTTTCTCTACTGCAGCAGCATTTTTTGCATTTTTTGCATTTTTTCTCTTATGCAAACAAAGTCACTGCTTCCATCCCAACTGGCAAGGTGGCCGAGTGGTCTAAGGCGCACGGTTCAGGTCTACTGAGCCCCTGACTCTGCCCATCGCGCATGCGCGCGGTGAGTTTTAAATTCCGTGTCTCGCAAGAGACGTGGGTTCGAATCCCACCCTTGTCATCCTTTTCTTTTTTCCTTTTCATTTCACTTTTTTCTTCTTCAGTATGTGGTTCGATTGTCCTCTCCTTGCGTTAATCGGGGCTACGGTCATCTTCTCATCTAAACGTGGCCTGGATCCATGGTTTGGCGCATCCGGCGGCACTTTACAGCAGTCGAAACCGGCTACCGTCCGAAAATTAAAAGTTCACTGTTTTTTAATAAAATTCTGCCAGCAGATATGCCTATGGTAGACTAAAGTGGTCAGCCATATTAATTTTCTGCTAGCAGAAGGATGATCCCAAGTAGAAACTAAAGTACTTACTTTTATATGGGAGTATATATAGAGGTCTATAGTAATAGTGTTAATAGTTAGAGGACTATCTTCCCTTTAATTATTACAGTGATTCAAGCAGTAATTCAAGCAGTGATTCAAGCAATAGCTTTAAAACCACCTAAAACATGTAGGTACTACTGCTTCAATTACTGCTCTAATCGCTACTTCAATCGCTGCTTGAACCACTGCTTGAACCACTGCTTGAACCACTGCTTGAACCACTGCTTGAATCGCTGCTTAAAAGAGCGCATATTACTAGCTACACAAGGCAGGCGATTAACGTGAGCGGTCAACCAGAATTTATTTTAGGATACCTGTACTGGACGCTTTCGACTGCCGTAGGCACTTGCTGGCGCATCTCCTACCGAGATGGTTCTTAGTGTAAAATCGAACGCGGACTCGACATCGCCAACGCCCCCGCTACACAGACCGTCTTCGACCCCACGCTCTCGTCGATTCGCCCGCTGGAATAGATCATGACCTGGCCACGGTTGGCGGAAACTCATGGGGTTGGGGCCGAGGATGGAAGGATTCCCAGAATTTATCACAATAGCTTCGCCATGTGCAGGGATATCAGGTATGACTGCGGAACAGGTACTAGGTAGGATGCATTGGCTGTCAGACGGCGAGTTCTAACTCGAGAGCACACCATTGAGTTTTCTGTTACGCGGGTCGAGAAATACTAGTATTTGCGGTGCGACGACTGGTGGCCGGTTCTACGTATGTGATGGAGTGACTGCCTTTCACGCTGGGAAGCACATCTTAAATCTCTTGGATGAGTCTGATTACACCTCAACTATCAATTGAATCATACATATCTCAGCCCGCCTGGTACAGGCCAAGCGCCACAATGTGCGGGTTCAGCTGCGTCAGGTTGAACGGCGTCACAAACAAGTCCATGTCGGTCAACAGGACCGCCATCGTCCCGTTGATAATCCCATCGTCCCCATAGACAAATCCCGCCGGCTGCGTCGTCCACCCTCTATTGCCCTCTGTCACGGTCAATGGCGAGTATGTGAGGTTCAGCTGGCTACTCCACGCCACGAATCGGGGCTGGCCCGCAGTGGTCGAGGTGACGTATGAGTTGTTCGGGCCCACTGCCTGTCCCGGTGCCTCCCACTCGAAGAAGACCCTCTTCCCGGGATACGAGAGCGGCTGCGTGCGGTTTCGGGAAATTGCCGGGCTGCAGTTCACGCCGACTCCCTGCGCGGTGACGCAGCTGTCGCCGGCAGTGACGTTGAACCGCGAAGGATCCGCGATGCGGTCGCCAACCTGCTCGCTTCCATCCTGCTGAGTGTTATTCGCGACGACCCTGTTGGTGTTCGGATTGTTGAGGATGCGCAGGGTCGGGAAGTTCTGCCAGGCCAGGCGCGTGGTGCCCTCGGGGCAGTAGCTGATATACGGCGCGAGCATGGTCCACTGCCACGACTGGGGCCAGCCGTTCTCGAACCAGACATTAACAGGCGCGAGGCCAGTCATTTGCCGGAACGCAAACTGCTGGCGGGCCTCGGTTGCAATGGACAGCGCGAGCAAGGATGCGACCTCGCGCGAGTCCAGGTGCGCGAGGAACCCCCAGACGCCCGACTCGCCGTAGCGCGTGACGCGCTGGTTGAAGTCGAGCCACTCGCGGACGTTAGTGTAGGGGTAGTCGTACACGCACTGCTTCGGGGCGGCTTCGCCCAGCATGTTGCTGAGGAGGGTGGCGTGGCCGGCCTCCTGGTTGGCGAAGAACTGGATCAGGGAGCGCACCTCGGGGTCGATGCCGGCGGCTCGGAAGTCTGCATCGCTGAAGCGGGCGAGGCCGTCGTGGAACAGGTCTAGCTCGATGTACTCCTGGTAGACGCCGAGGGCGATCGACTCAAAGTCCCAGTCGCTCTCGACCATGTAGCGAGGCTCGCTGCCGTTGGTTCCCAGGCCGCCAGCGGGGACATAGGGGGCTGGCATGGGATTCTGAGGCACTCCGTCGGCATTGTAGTAGGTGGCGGTCGGGTTGGGGGGCTTGGGAGCGATGGAGGGGGCCAGGGTCCCTGGAGCCGTGACGGCCCCTCTGGTCGTCGGGGTCCCCGTGTAGGGGCCGTGGGTTGGGGCGCTGGTGTAGCCATTCTCGCCGACGATGACGGGGCCTCCAGTATAGGCCGGAGCAGCCAGGGCTCCTGCTTGGAGGAGGGGAAGGACCAGATGGCGGCGATGCATGGGAGCTGGGAACTGGGAACTGGGAGCTGGGAACTGATATCTGAGGGAATAATGGATGATTTCGTGGGGAGTTGCAGGTAAGAAGAACAAAGGAGGGTTTCAATGATGAGATCTATGCATGATGTCGTTATGAGGTGGTGTCTGACTCTAATCCTGATTGACTTTCCACCAGCAGCCCTCGTCAGACCGGAAAACACTTCCACCCCACGTCCACTGGGCATGTCCTCAATCAGGTCAAACCCTCTCTGCCGATTCCAGATGCTCAGATCCTGCTTCGTTTGATTTGCCCATCTCCTTTCCCCCAGTTTCAATCCGAATGTCGTCCTTGCTGGCGTACGCAACCCTGTGCACTGTGTACCAGGGCCGCTCAAACAGCGCATCCAACGCCTCCAGCGACCGACCCGTCGTGTCCTGGTCCAGTTAGCTTCTAACTAGCTTCAAAGGATAAAAGGAGAGAGCTCACCGGCATCGCAAAAAACACATAAACCAGCCCGACCACGCAGATGCAGGTGTAAAACACAAACGCCCCCCAGCGGTGCGTGGCCGCCAGCAGACTGGGCATCGCCTTGGAGCAGCCAAAGTAAAACGCCCAGTGCAGCGCCATCGAGATGGCCATGTTCAGCGACCGGATGCGCGTGGGGAAGATCTCGGGCCCGATCAGGTAGGGGATGCTGAACCAGCCGATGCTCCAGGCCACCGCGTGCAGGTAAATGGCCACAATGGCCGCCGTCGACGCCCGCTCCGTGTTCGGCGAGGCTTTGATCTCCTCGGGGGTCATGTCCTTGGTCGCCCCCAGGTAGGCCCCGATGAAGACGAGCGTGAGGATCTGCAGCGTGATGCCCGTCAGCAGCGACCGGCGCCGCCCGACAAAGTCGACAATCACCACCGCGAAGACCAGGGTGCTGGCAAACTTGACCACGCCGTAGATGCCCGTCGTCAGGAACTTGGCCTCGTCGCCCTCGATGCCCAGATACCCGAAGATGGTCGGCGAGTACTGCGTGATGGCGTTGGCGCCCGACCACTGCGAGAAGAGCGTCGCCATGAACAGCAGGAAGAAGCGCCGACGGTTCTGGACCGGAACCAGCGTCTCCTTGAGCAGCTGCCACTGCGACGCAGACGCCACCGACTCGTGCTCGTGCAGAATCTGGGCGTCCATCCCCTGCAGCTCCCCGACCACCGCCGGGTGATCCGGGCTGAGGTGCCGCAGCTTCGACAGAGTAGCAGCAGACTCCTCTCGCCGACCCACGGAGCGCAGCCAACGCGGCGACTCGGGGCAGACAAAGGTTCCAATGCCCCAGAGCGCCGCGGGGAGGAGCTGGAGCAGAGTCGGGAGCATCCACTGAGTGTCGGTTCCCCCGTACTGCTTGGTGACCCCGTAGTTGATGAAGAAGCCCAGGACAACCCCGAGCTGCTGGCACGCGGCGTACTGAAGCGTCAACAGGCCGCGGATCGCCTTGGGGGCGATCTCGGAGATATACACCGGAGGCACAATGGTGGTCACGCCAATCCCCATGCCGCTGATCACTCTGGACGCATAGAGGCCGCCGAGGTTTCCGTTGCACAGCCCCTGGCCGAGGATCCCAGCAATGTAGACCAGAGTGCCCAGTCGGAGCGTCCAGCGGCGGCCGATTCGGTCGTTGATGGGGAGCGACTGGATCATGTATCATGTCAATTTTCTGAGCCCAGAGAAGAAGGATCGTGATTCTCACCCCAAGACACCCAAACACCGCGCCCGCCGTCGCAATCGACACAATCCATCCCTTGGTTCCTGCGTACTCATCCTCGGAGAGGTGGTCGATCCCAAACCGTCGCTTGAAGTGAGCCTGCACGACGAGCGAAGCGATGTTCCCTGCATTCACCCAACGTCAGAACAAATGTACGCTCAGGGGGAAAATATAGAAAAGACCAACCCTCATCGAAGCCTTTGGCGACGCCAGCCAAGGCAAAAACCCACGTCACGCCAAAGACATACCAGTTGAAGATGCCGCTGGGCGCCTCGCGGAACGCCTTTCTCGTATCAGCAATGAGTCCCATGGTGTAGCTGGAGACAAGAGAAACAAGAGTGCCGAGGACTGGGCCAGGTCTTGGACTGGTTATCTATGGACCGGGGGTATCTATGGACCGGGGGTATCTATGGACCGGGGGTATCACTGGGATCAGGATCAGGATGGTGGCAGACGCCAAACTCCGTCCGATGGGGCCTGGGGGGTCGGAAATCTTCCGCCTGGGGGGGATTATTTGTACTCGCACACCGGCCAACCAATTTAAACCTCATACAGACGCCATGAACTTCTTCCCCCCGCCCCCCATCATCCAGGCAACGGTCCTCCTCCGCATCCCGGACTCGCTGCGCTGCACCGGACAGCCGGCCGAGTGGCGCGGGGGCTCCGCAGCGCCTCCGTCGGACATTTTCCTCGAGGGCCCCGTCTGCGCCCCGGACGGTCGCCTGTACCTCGTCGACGTTCCCTACGGGAGGATTCTACGGGTTGACCTC